CAGCAAAATGACTTGAGACAGCCCTGCCTTATAGCTAAGCAGAAGGAAAGAAACATGGCTTGCCTCCCTCCATTTTCCGCTTCCCTCTGCCGCCCCACCAGCCACAGTCGGGACACTCATCTGGAGCTTGCTTCTAGATCTCGTTGTATTTCTTCCCACAATGGGCATTACTCCTAGTCTTGTATATATATATATGTGTGTGTGTGTGTGTGTGTATATACACACACACAAACATACACACACCTTTAAGTGAATCCTTAAGAACTAGATTCTCTTTCTTCTTCAGGCCCTGCATGGGAGAGGACAAACTTAGGTCTGTTTCTGTGTACCTTGGTTATACGGTTGCCAGCTGGAGGCAGGCAACTGGTGGGAGACTTATTGGGGAGGGGCGCTGGCATTTAAAATAGGGATGCCAGCCTCCAGGTGGGACCTGGGGGATCTCCTGGAATTCCAGTTCATCCCCAGACTACAGAGATCAGTTCCCCTGGAGAGAATGGATACTTTGGCGGGTGGGCTCTATGGCTTTGTATCTCATTGAGGTCCCTGTCCTTTCCAGGCTCCATCTCCAGATCTCCAGGAGTTTCCGAACCTGGACCTGGTAACCCTACCCACCATCCCTCGCCAGTGGCCAGGGGGGACTTGGCAACCCTAGCTGGCAACATCATGGTAATGTCATTTCCAGCATCACCTGAAACTGACATCATCATTTAGGGGCAACACCCTACAGAGATCAGTTCCCCTGGAGAGAATGGATGCTTTGGCGGGTGGACTCTATGGCTTTGTATCTCATTGAGGTCCCTGTCCTTTCCAGGCTCCATCTCCAGATCTCCAGGAGTTTCCGAACCTGGACCTGGTAACCCTACCCACCATCCCTCGCCAGTGGCCAGGGGGGACTTGGCAACCCTAGCTGGCAACATCATGGTAATGTCATTTCCAGCATCACCTGAAACTGACATCATCATTTAGGGGCAACACCGTAGCTTTAATGCCAAACTGAGTGTTCTCTCCCAGCTGGAGGCAACAAAGAGACTTGCTGGAGCTACCAGAGCCAACTGTGTGCTGGCCACTGAGCGGGCCTGAAAGGGTGATAAAGCAGGATAGGTCTGTTCCTCCCACCCACTACACCTCAGAGGATAGTACAGTTGCTACAGTGATACATGATTCTTGCTTTACCTTGCTATACGTGGCTTGGCTTAAGTCTTTGAACACCAGATGTTCAAGGAGCCTGGTGTTCTCCTGGAATTACAACTGATCTCCAGGCTACAAAGATCAGTTCCCCTGGAGAAAATGACAGGCTTAGAGGGCAGACTCTTCATCATCACATCCTTATTAAGTTCTTTCCAGTCCCCAAATCCTGTCCTTCCCATGCACATCTCCACATCTCCAGGAATTTCCCAAGCTGGAACTGGCAACCCTACTTGAGTCACCTAGGAGCATTTCCTTTTCAGGCAACATCTCACTGCTTCAAGCAGGTCTTGATAATTGGATTTCAATGCCTTTCGATCTTATCTAGTACTATGATTTTATGTATTGTGTGCAATGGAAGCAGCCCAATAAGCTCTGACCTGGATAGCCCAGGCAAGCCTGGTCTCATCAGATCTCAGAAGCTAAGCAGGGCCGACCCTGGCAAGTACTTGGATGGGAGACCCCCAAAGAATACCAGGGCCAGGAGGCCAGAGGCAGGCTATCAAGCCCCTTCTCTGAACATCCTCCATGCCCCAGTAGGAGTTGCCAGAGGTCACCACGACTTCCAGGCATGGGCACACACACAGAGACAGAAATACCCCCCCAAAGTAGTCCACTAAAACAGTATGTCTAAAATATTTATGCTTATATGGCTATTATTCTTGTTGCACACTTACCATTATAACTTGTTTGATTTACCCATATACATTTTTTTTAAAAATATTTTGAACTATTAATAGTTATTGCTTTTAATTGTTCATAGAAACATAGAATCACAGAGTTGGAAGGGGGCTATACAGGCCATCTAGTCCAACCCCTGCTCAGTGCAGGATCAGCCTAGAGCATCCCTGACAAGTGTTTGTCCAGCTGCTGCTTAAAGACAGTACATGGGGTTTTTGCATTCCGAATGCTTTATAGTAACACGTGCCAGTTGAAGCAGAGGGGAAGCAAGGCTATTCCCTCCAGAGGAATTTGACCCATGGTTATGAGATCACACAGCCCTTAGTTGCTGCGGGTGTAGCCTGTCACTGTGTGATCAGATGCAACTGTGGGTGAGTTGAGGGGTTTTGCCCTTTGTTTCCCATGCACGTAAACAAGAAATTGCACCTCCGCACCGAGGGCCCCCTATGGGTATGCGATGATGCGCATACTGCGAAGGGGGGAGGGGAAACAGCACCGAGCCGGGATGGCCTGATCAGTCCATCCCAACAGCTCAGAAGCATGCTTGCGTGATCAGACAGGGGAAAGTCCATCCATGGCCCGTCGCAACCCATTTACTACCAGATTTTCTCCGGTGTCTTTTTACTCCACTTCTGCGATGGTGCAGCACGGGTTGCCAATGGCTGTTGGACGTTTCCCAGATGTTAGCCAGGTTCTTCCCTCCGGAGGAATTTGACACGCAGTTGTGAGATCACACAGATTGCTGCGGGTGTAGCCCGTCACTGTGTGGTCAGACACAACTGTGGGTGAGTTGAGGGGTTTTGCCCTTTGTTTCCCATGCACGTAAACAAGAAATTGCACCTCCGCACCGAGGGCCCCCTATGGGTATGCGATGATGCGCATACTGCGAAGGGGGGGAGGGGAAACAGCACCGAGCCGGGATGGCCCGATCAGACCATCCCAACAGCTCAGAAGCATGCTTGCGTGATCAGACAGGGGAAAGTCCGTCCATGGCCCGTCGCAACCCATTTACTACCAGATTTTCTCCGGTGTCTTTTTACTCCACTTCTGCGACGGTGCAGCACGGGTTGCCAATGGCTGTGGGACGTTTCCCAGATGTTGCTGTCTGATCGCGCCCTTTCAATCTGTCGGGCATTCGCAATTATGTCAGATCTACTGGCCCATGTGATCGCAGCCTTAGAGTGCTTTACATCAGTATTTCCCGTCAACACAATCTTGTACAATTAAA